CCATGGCTGGCCCCCAGCCTCAGTTCAATGGGGCGATGCAGGGGGGCACAGGCCAGCCTCAGTGCCAGCCCCAGCATGGGGACACCATGGGGAAAATGTGGCAGAGGAGCCATGCACATCTGCACGGGTTTAATCAAAACATTGCTGTGGTGTTACCAGATCAGCAGCCCTGATCAGCCCCTGTGCTGCTTTATCTCCTACTGGCGTCAGCCAAACAGACCAAGCAGCTTCCCCCCCCCCACCCTCCTTCAAAAAACCATCCCCAATCTCTATGTACAGATGCAGTGTTCCATATCAGTACAAAAATATACACAAACTCTACAGATCCCAGCTCAGTAGATCAAAACACAGCTATAAATCACAGTGCGTAGGACAGCATCAGGCCCAGGGAGCGATGAGATCGTCCCCCCCAAGAGCATGGCACACCACGGGTGCACACCGGCATGGTGGGTTGGGGCAGATCATCCTCTTGCCTCCTGGGGTCATTTCTCATCCAGCTTGCAGTACAGGTACATGGAAACCGCCATGGCCGCGATCTGGGGGTGGCAAGAAGCAAGTCAGCCCCCTAAGTAATGTTCCCCCCCCCCAGCATGGGTTTGGGTCACAGCCCAAAGCATCCATCCCTAGCACACACATAGAGGAAGAGCTGGGCATGCTCAGCAGCCACCCTGAGGCAGATGGTGGTCCATGGGGTGGTACCAGCCCCTTGGCCACCCAGCCCCACCGCTTACCTCCAGGTAGGAGGAGGCAGCACAGCAGTGCTCAGGGACTCACCTCCAAGGCAGCGATGCCAGCTGCCACGCCACCCACCACACCTGCATTAGTCTTGATTTCTTCCAAGATCTGATCAAAACAACCCTGTAGGAGGCAACCACGCAGGTGAAGATGAGCAAGGAGGCAACCACACAGGTGATTACAAGCAAGGGGTGATCCCCTAAACACCAGGGCACAGCATCCCCAGAGAGGGAGATGTGGTTCTCCAGCTCAGAGCTGCATGGCTATGGAGAAGGTCTGAGAGCTTCAGAGGGTAACTCAGCCACCTCTCAGGCCAAAGCACAGCATTGCCTGGGGGAGAGAGGCACGGAAATCACCCAAAAAGGCAGAGTGATGCCTGGGTTCATGCTCAGGTCCAGTCATGTCACTCTGCTGCAGAGCTCCTTTTAGAACCAGAGCAATGGTAGCAGCTTTGCTTGTCAAGCCAAGGACACCACAGCATCCCCTAGGACTTAAAGACCATGAGACCTCCATGCCCAGCACTGGGGCTGGAGCTACAGGACAGGTCTTCCCGCCGTGCTAGCGCACACCCCAAACCAGGCTCTGCCAGAAGGGAAGAGCTGCCGAGGCATCCATACCGGGACTTGGCTTTTTGCGGCGAGCGCGTCATCACAGGGCTCCACGTTTTTACAGCAGGGCCCTGGGTAGGTTTTATCTTTCTCATAGAAGGGGGAGCCGGTGAAGTCTGTGTAGTTATTCAGGCCACAGCAATGGACCTAAAAGGGAGAGAGAGAGGAAGGGATGGGGGGAGCATCCTGCAGGTCTCTCTCCTGGGCAAAACATGGTCTGGACCCCGCTGCCCCATGGAGGAAATCACCCAGCTTAACCCAGCTCTGGGGGAGGATGTTCAAGGGCCTTCTTGGGACCAGGATTCTGCCCCACACTTCAGCATGTGCAGCTCTCCTGGGCAGGTCCCAGGCCCCTGGGAAGCCAATGGGGTGGTGACAGCTCAGCACATCACATCCCCATTCCCATCCTGCTGGCCCATCTGGGTGTGCACCACCAAGCCTGTGCCGGGAGCACCCTGACCCACAGTTGGGAGCCCCAGGGCTTGGCGCACCTCCGTCATGGTGGTATTCCAGATCTGCGAGACGGTTGTATCCGCCCCATATTTCTCCCTCAGGATGGGGGTCACCAGAGCAGTCAACAGCGTCTCTGCCTGGAAGAAGAGGCAAAGAAACACCATAAGAGACAGTCCTGGGGAGCACCACAAAGCTGACCCATACTGGTCTCAGCCCATGGGGAGGGGCCCAACCAGACCCAGCATGGCCAGAAGCACGGCACACCATGTCCCTTTGGCCCGAGGACAGCTTGAGCCCTTCCCCATTAACCAGCGCTTGATGGTGCAAGGGCCACTTATGACCAGTGAGTCATCTGATAAGCAGCACAACCGAGAGAGCCAGGAATGACGTTTGCCCTGCAGTTGACTTCTGCGGTGCATAATGAGGCAAAGTCACCTTTCTCCCCAGGTGGTTTCTCAGGTGCCTAATAAGGGGTTGAGGTTGCTCGTGGCAACCATGAGCAGTGGAGAGGTGTTAAGCCTAGGCTGGTACTAAACTAAATCCCTAAACTAAGGGGTTTGAAAGAAGTAGGCAAAACTGGTACCTAACCCTCATTTCCTGTTCCCACCACCCTCACCCCAGCCAGGCTGCCCCAGCCTGCCCACATAGCTAGTGCCAGCAGGGGCCAGCATCCCTTCCTCTCAGCTTCCCCACCCATGTGCAGCACTGCCTGCCCCCTAAAGTCTCCTGTTTTCCCAAGGGGTAGGACAGGTCCCATGTTGGCCCAGCCCAAGACTCAGATATACCACTTACAAGACCTGTGTAGACCAGAGCCACCACGGCAGCAGCGATTTCAGCAATGAAGATGATAAGCACTACTGTGAAGAACTAGGACACAGCAAGGGGAGGGAGGTCAAAGCAACAGCCAGAGCCCACAGGGCCCCCCAGGAACCCATCTGCTTCCCAGGGCTCAGCAGGACCCTCCCTCAGGGCTAAAGCCCTGTCCCATTGCCTTCAGCTCTGCTCCAAGACAGCAGCAGCACAACCCCAGGGTCCTCCAACCCTCCATCTGCATGGGGCTGACCTCTCTGGACATGCTCCAAGAGAGACCTCTGCTCAGCACCAGTTTCTGCTTCCCTCCACCCTTCCCCAGGGCAGACTTTGAGTCCAGCACTGCCTTTCCAAGGTCCCCCCAGCCTCCCACCACATGGGAACACACAATGGACGACATCTCCACAGACAAATCCATCCCTCAGACCTCCCCAGCCAGAGACCCAGCTCAAATAAGGCTTATTAATGAGATCAGTCAGGTCCATACCATCATCAGGAGACACTTGCTCTCCTTCTGGGCACCACAGCAGCCGAGGAAGCCGATCACCAGCAGGATGGAGCCAATGACAATGAGAAAGTAGCTCACATTCATAAACTGCAGGACGCTAGAGGAGAGCGCCCCAAATATATCCAGGAACGACTGTCCATCCACTGTGACCCAGATGCCAACTCCCAGGAGGGTCGCACCACCAAGCTGGGAGGAGAAAGTCAATGTCAGCTCCCAGGCAGGCAGAGATCTGGGATGTGGGGAAGGTCCTGGCACAGGTGTTTCTCCCCTCCAAGCATTTTCGCCATACCAAAACACGCCTTTGTGGCCACTGAGGGCAGCTCGGGGTATTGCCGCTGCAGGTTTGAGGCAGCTGAATAGTTCACCACCCCAAAACACACCCTACCACCAGCACATCCTCAGCTGTGGTGTCGCAGCTGCTCCCTTCCCCAGCCCAATGGGTTTTGGTGCCAGCGAAAGGCAGAAACTCCCACGCAGGGCAGCCAAGCCAGCAGTGCAACCAGTCACCCCCTGACCCCAGCAGGGCCCAAGTGGCCAGCTCATCCACTGGCCACCACCACGCTGACACAGGTTCCTCCATCCAGGGAAGCTGGGAAAGCTGCCCCTGGCCCAATATGCTCAAACACTCCTAGCAAGATCAGCTCAGGGCTGCCTCCAGACCACTCCAGTCCTGCCTCCCATCTTCACCACCAGCCCGAAGTCCTGGCAGGATCTTTAAGGAGGGAATGCTTCACCAGGGCAAGCCTGGAGGCTCTGCACTTCCTCTTCCCAAGGTTATATCGCACCACAACACCTTCTCAAGGCTATATCTCACCACAACCCCTTCCAGGGGGCTCCATTGCACCTGCAGAGCCAGGGTGGCCCTCAGGAGCTCCACTACCCTCTGCCCTGAGTGGGAACAGAGGTTGCGTGTGCTCCAGAGACTCGCAGCACTGCAGGTGACCATCACATGCATGGGCTGTTCTCTTACAGAGACAGAGTCCCCCAGGCAGGGATCCAGCAAACCCCCCTGCTCTGGGACACACAGCACCCCTCATCAGGGCTTCAGCACAGGGAGGGACATGGGCGGCTGATGCAACAGCCACTGTCCCCAGCACAGCCCCCTGAGCTTTGGCCAGAGCCGGGCACACCACTGGAGTGAGAGATCCCCACAAGCCCACGGCATTACCCCTCAGCTTCAGGCCAGGCACCAGATCTCACACCCCACCAGGGTCCCAGGAACACAAGTCCCATCTGAACCCAACTACTCACATCTCTGCTTCATCCCCCATAGTAAGGGCATGGAGGGACAGGAGAGCCCACAGGGGACAGCTTCACCCACCACACACCCGGCTCAGGGTGTCCAGGAGACCCCTGCAGACCCCAGCCCCTCTTCCCAATTTCCTGGGGCAAGCAAGGGGGACACCAGGCTCGGCCCTCCCAGGCAAGGACAGCACCTGGGGTACACTTACAAATATGGCCAGGTTGAAGAGGATCATCATGACCTTGATAAAGGTGAAGCACCCCATCTTTGCACCTGGGGAGAGCAGAGAGAGGTTATCAAGGGGAGCCCTCCCCCAGCACAGACACTGCCCTGCTGTG